AATGTCATCCACTTCCCTCTCTACTCTTGATAACTGGAATGGGGTTGCTTACGCTGAACGTGGCTGCAATCTTCCACAGTCATTCCTAAAAGGTGGTTTTAGTAGGTTCAAATCTTACTTTGTGGCTTTTTATGCTTTCCATATACAGCTAAAAAATAAAAAAAAACCGATATTGAAGGGAATTGCAAGACCGATGATCTTGTCAGACGGCGTACTAATCTTTCCCTAGGCTTACATAGAAGCAGTATTGCAATATCAATCGTCGTGTAAATTGTTATTGATAAAGAATGTTATTTGGAAAACTAATTCGTGAAAAGACTAGGTTATTGTGGATTACTTATTAAATGTCGATTTAGAATACATATAAAAAAAAACAAAAAAAAATTAATATTCTCTAGTTATTAATTTAAACTAAATCTTTACGCTGATCGAGCTTATATAGTGGGATTTAAACTCTGAATTTAATCTTGTAAATATGCGTAACGTTCAGTTGGTCTTACTTGACGTTCACATATACACTGGCCACACTTTCACTTTCGTATAATTAATTCTGATTAACCACTGAATATAACAACATTTCGTTTAAAAATATATAATATATTCAAAAACCAGCTTAAATGTTGTAAAGGAATAAAGACAATATTATCTCTTGGCTGTCACTTAATAAAAATATTCCTACTAAGTATTTAATGGAGACGAAGTCATGCAAGCAATTGCAGAACAGATAGTATCATTTTACGTTCAGTTCCTTAAAAAATTTTCAAGTATTCTCCTTTGGATAAAGTGTTTGCAAAAACATAATGTATAGAATCGAAGTCTATATTAGGATAAATAGTTTGACTATTACTAAGTATTCAACATTCAACCTGAGAACAGATGTATCAAATAACTAGTAACTGGTTATGCAATTCACGACGACCTTAGATATGCTTGTCTTTATACACTTAGTAAGTCACTTGATTTGTTTCCATTAAGTTTCGGCCACAGTAACCTAGACTTCAGACAAGTCTTTTCATTTAACCAGAACGAATTAGTTTTCAAATTACTGTCTTTTCTAATAGTAATTTACAAGTGACCATACTTATTCCAATACTACTTCTATGTAAACCCAAAGTACAAGATTTATAACTAGTTCATCGGTCTTGCAATTCAATTCAATATTGTTACAGCTCGGGGTTCACATTACGCGTAATTAGAAAATAGTGTCAATATTTCTTAGAACCACCAAGTAATTCTGAGAAATTTTTGACTATAACACCACCGATTTTTTTAATTTGAAGTACCATATTTGATGGCCTTCTGAGTACATATTTATTGTTGCTTTATTTGCCACTACATGCTTAATTGTACAGCTACTTCTCTGATTGCTAAAACTTCTACCTGTTAAGCACTACAGTAGTCCGGGAAACGAACACACAACTTGAGTTCTAAATCTTTTCATTAATATTTTTTGACTACTTTTTTATATTTTAATTTATTAATGAGGTGGATAATATTATAATTTATCTATATAATATAAGAGTCTATATAACTTCCAATTAATCTGTGTCTTTCGTTGAAGCTTAAAAGTTTCTTCTTAATTTTTCTTCGTTTCTTCTTAGTAAGTTGTATTAGACTGAGAATACATAGATAGATTGAGAATACATAGATTGAGAATTATTCTGACAAACTCACTTTAGTTCCATAGCATTTAGCGTAGCAGTTAAAAATGCCATTATGTCTCTTTGAGAGTTGCTGTCTACAACCGTTATAAGTAAATAAGCCGTTGATAAGTACCGCAGACTGTGTCTGGCTAGACTATCACAGTGACGAAGAATATGTTCTGCTATTTTCACTTCTTCGTACCTAGGTTCAATAGATACTTTTTTATCTCCGCAATAAGAGTGAGAAATCCTATAACAAGTCGAATACCCTTTCTGTACAGCATGGGTAGCTAGCTCCCTCGTTCTGGGTTTCAAGCGATTTAGTATGAACTCTTTAGCTTGTTCGCAGGCAGTTATATTAACCCAATTAGTCTGCGCTGCTTTATTGAGACATTCAATAATTTTAAGTTTAAGGAAGCTTAAGTCTTGGCCCAATATAGGTTGTACTACAAACATAATCTAAATTTTAATATGTCTTTATTACAAAT